TGTGGACTTCGTGCCATGGCTACTTCGATGACTATTGGATTCCTGACACAGGCATTCTCCCCCCAAACCGATACAAGGGATCTTAGGATACAGGAAAATTAGTGCTACTGAAAGAAAGCAAAGGCTACATTTTCAAAGGAAGCAACCCAGTGGGCCAGATTATTGCTGTGGTTTTAATAAAAACAATCAGAGACTGGAGGGAAACATTTAGCCTGTGAACCTGGGGTCGGTGATTTCTTACCAAAGGCAGAGTTTCTTATCACTCCAGTAGAACTGGGAGCTGCTTCATTAACTTTGTTTCTTGTGAGCTAGGACCTCACTATGTAGCCCAGGCTGACCCCGTTCTTTTCTGTCTCAGCTTCCTTAGTGCTAGGATTACCCGTGTGTCCCACCACACTCTGATGTCCTGTTTGTCCGAGGGGACACGGAGAGGTTTTGGATGAGGAAAATGACCAAGTTCTGGGGAGCTGGGCCCAGCAAAGAGCCTTTGTATATTGGAAAGAGCAAAGCTGTTGGTGCAGTTGTGAAGGGCCCCTAAGCACAGTCAGAAGGGACGTGAAACCAGGCCACGGGGGACAGAAGCACCTGTGAGAGGAATCCGAGTGACAATGACCTGGGCAACGTGTTCATGCTGAGAGGTACTTTCTACGCTTCATTGTTGCACCCTGGGCATCTAACCTGACTCGTGGTCATAAATGATCAACAAGAGGCAATTGAAGGTAGTGAGTGGGCTTGGGAACTCGCTTAGAGCGAGTTCAGCAGGCAGGCACACTGGGGTAGATTCCTGACCTTGCTGTGTCCTAGCTGAGTGATGTGAGCAGCTGACTCAGTGTCTCAGGTCTCAGGTTCTCCTTGAAGTAAGAGGAAAACAGCTGGACTTTCTGGTATATGACTCCAATCTCAGCACTGGAGTGGCTGAGATGGGGAGTTTTCAAGTTTCATGTTAGCCTGGGCTACATATTGGAGCCCTGTCTCAAAGGTAGGGAGAGAGAGAGAAAGAGAGAGAGAGAGAGAGAAAGGAGAAGGAGGAGGAAGTAAATCATAATGATAATAGTGATAATTATGAAAAATGAATTTTTAAACAAATATATCCAACACACACTCATTAAACACCTACTGTGCTGAGCCCTGCAGCTGTGAGGTAGATGAAGCGTATGCTCCCCGGGCGCCACACACCCGAGTACGAAGCTGTGCTGGTACTTCTGTTGAAGTAAAACGTCTGATAAAAGGCAGCTCCGGGGCATAGGGGGTTAGTTCTGCTTACATTTGGAAAGACTACAGTCCGCTGTGGTGGGGAAGGGACGGCAGGAGGAGACTGAGCTGCTTGGTCACGCTGTGTCAGAAGTCAGGCAGCAGAGAGAAAGATGGACACTAGTGCTCAGCTTGCCTCCTCCTTCTTGTTCAATCCAGGACCCCAACCCGTGGGATGGCATTGCCCAGATTGAAGGTGATCTTCTCCAGTCTAGATAATCCCTCCAGACATGCCCAGAGTCCTGTCTCCAACGACTCTAAATCCTGTCAAATTCACAGTTGATAGTAACTATTACAAGAGCTGGAGGAGTCTCCATAAAGCTCGGACCGAGCAGAGCGGCAGGTTGTGCTTGGTCAGTGGGATGTAACGCTGTTGGCTTCATAAGGAGAGAACTGGGAGGGCTGACCATGGTATACCTAGCGTGGCTTTGAACTGAGCTCACCCGACGCTTCCTTCCCAGACTCCCAAATATCTGGGACTACAGACACACGCCACTGTGTCCAGCTTGGAACCTGTTTTCTTACTTTCCCCAAGACCGATTTATTTTTAAATCTGTGTGTATGTGCATGTGCTGTGTGTGTGCACATGTACAACATGCGTGCCCGAGCCTGCAGATGTCAGAAAATGCGTCCGATCCCCTGGAACTGGAGTTATTGGCCATTGTAAGCTGCCACTCAAGTGCCGGGAGCCAAACTCGGGTCCTGAGGGAGACCATCAAGCACTCTCAGACTGCCGAGTCATCTCTCCAGTCCCGTGTTTTCTTTTCTTTTCTTTTTTTTATGGTGACAAATATGTAGAAATTTCCAATGGCAGATGAATTTAGAATTCTTGAGTTCGTGCTGTTCCTAGCGTGTGCTTGGCAGCTGAAGAATTTAGGTGTTGATATTAGTCACACGTGTCTAGGAAGTCTCTGAAGAGACCTGGGTGCCTTGTCCTCACGTCTTCTCTTCCCTCAGTTAAAAGGCAAGCACTAGGAAGAGCCCGACTTTGCTGAAATTTGCTCGACACACTTTTCTCCAAAGGGTCCCTATTATCTTGTCACACATCTGAGGCAGAAAGCAAAACCCATAAAGCAAAACTTGAAGGAGTTATATTAATCAGGCACCACACAAAACTGTTCCCCCACAACAGTTGAAGTTCACAGTGAGTCATGACTCAGGTTTGCCTAGGAGCCTTGTGTGATCGAAGTGCTGTCTGAGGGTGCAGACGGTAAAAGATAAATCCGAAAGAGTTTGGGAGCATGCTAGCGCTTGTCCCTGCAGATTTCAAGAGCTGAACACGCAAGGGTAATCACCAGAGAGGCAGCACGCTCTCTGTGTTAAAGAAGAAGCCAGGTAGAATGTGGGCAGCCATCGGTAGCTCTGTCATTGGACAAACATCACTCCTGGGGACTACCCTCAAACCTCTTAGCTGAAGGCAATTCATTAAGCCGCCCCACTAATTCATAGGATTCCCTTTAGAAAGAGGAAGCTCTTTGAAAGAGGGAATTAGGGGCCTGCCCTCATTAATTAAAAATAAACCCTTGGTTTTTCCTGAAGCCAGGAAAGCTTTTGTGTAATTATGGTTTGGTAGGTAAAAGCGATACCACACCTAAAGCCACGCCCTCCGAGACGCTTGGCCTGACTGCCCCCGCGAGTGTGGCCAGGCCTTAGAGAGGCTGCTTTTGTTCTTGTGTGAGCCACCCCGAAGCCTCTTGAGCTTGGATGTCCTGGGATGGCCACAGGTGTGGTGATTCACTGGCTTGTGTGTAAGTGACATCCATACTGTTTCTTCCCTCATTTCCTCAGGGATTGCTTGTTTTCAAAAGAATCCAAGTCCCTCAAGGTTTCCCAAAACCCTTGGCGTGGGGTATAACTTCCTAAGGTTTTGTTGTTGTTGTTGCTGTTGCTGTTTTGAGGGTGTGTAGTGTATGAGTATCCTCTGTATCTTTTCCAGCACCACCCCACAGTCATGAGCACTTTTGGGGGGTACTCCTTCTCGGGGAGTGAATGATGAATTTACAGTGGGCCACAGAAGGAGGCGCTTGTAAGTTCTGCTCGACTGGTGGATTTTAAAAATAGCTCCTGGATTTTGCAGTGTGGAACGCCATGTGTGAGATCCCGGATGACATGTGTGCCTCGTGTCGCAAAGCCTTTCACAAGTGTCACCCAATTAACCGCATGCCCTCTGACAGGTGGCAGGGGCCCCCTCTGTGGCTTCCAGAAAGGGGCCCCTGCTTGCGTGTCACTGGCTCAGGACAGTATCTTTGTTTGGGGAGCGGGGTGGTGGTTGGGCTGTCCAAAGAGGGACATCCTTTTGAGTCTTGAGCAATTACAGAGTGAGTTTCAATGCCATGCTTTGGAAAGTCTGGCTTTCACCAGACAAAGCTGGTTACTTGTTTGTTTACTCTGTGGTAGCATTTCTGAGGGAGAACCCAGGACTATTACTTCTTGTCCCAAAGTCAGTTCCTGCCAACAGGAACAGAACAGAAAAAAGAGAGCCATTTGAAGACTGACCCACCCTTTGGCAATGTCTGTTGGAGAGACTTTGAGTACAGATAATTGGAATCTTCAAGACAAGATAATGGGTTAAGATAATGCTGGGAAACTGAGTCCAGCCCGTATTTAGATGGCTGCCCTTTCTTAGGACGGGTAGCAAGAAGAAGAGATTTGGGTATTAGACTGAGCAAGGATTGGACAGAATCCCTGTACCGAGAGAAGAGGAGGGTTACTGAGCCATTATGAGAGCAAGGCTTTAGAAAATAAACAAAGCAGAAGGGTGGGTGCAGACTAGGGAGCGGAGGAGGGCAGAGGCCCTGGAAGCTGAAGGAAGCCTTTTTGCATGATCATCAACCCAGTGTTCGGCACAGCAGCGAGGACTGGGCACCCACCGTTTATCAGACGCCCTCCTGAGACTCAGCCACTCCGAGCATGTGTCTTGGACAAGACCTCGCCCTGTCTCAGCCTTTTCTTGGTGAACATAGGAGAGTGAAACATCTCACATGACAAACTTTCGGGGGAAACTAACTAAAAACATGAAGTGCTGGAAGCAGTGTGTGGTGTCCGATAAACATTTGGTAAATACTGTCGATGACAGGAGGGAGGTAAGGAAGACCGAGACTATGTTAGTTTCAGTTGCATTACTGTTATGAAACACTCGAGACAGCCAATTGATGAAGGGAAAAGGCTAATTTGGCTCATCATTTTGGAGGGAGGATCTGGCCCAAAATCAGATGAACCACTTCTTCGTGCCTCTGGCACCATGCTTGGCAAGGATCTCTTGCGGAGTCATCCATTAATCTCATGAGTCTGGCAAGACAGCTAGGAAGAGAAGGAGACTGAGGTCTAACAGTCCCTGAGAGCGCTTGTCCACAGTGTGTTGTTGGTGTCTGTGTTAGTTTCCCTTCTGTACTGTGATAAGACATCTACAATCAAGGCGATATAGGGAGAGTTTATTTGGGCTTACAGTTCTAAAGGGATAAGCGTTGGGCATGGCATGGCAGCAAGGGGCAGGCACGGCGGCAGGAACAGGGAGCAGGGCTTACACTACATGAAGTGGGGGAGAGAATAACACTCACTGGGAATGGTACCAAGCTTTGGAACCTCAAAGCGTGACACACTCCTTCCAGCAAGGCCAAACCTCTTAGACCTCCCTAGACAGTGCCACCAGCTGGGGACCAAGCATTCGAATACCCAAGACTATGGTGAATATTTTTCCTTGTCCCATCCACACCACCACCTCAGGTTCTTCTCCTAAAGATGCCACCCCACCCCAGCATGTTGAGTTCAGAGCAACTGAGTTCAGTTGAGAGCAGCTCCCCTGTTCATCTCATTAAACGTTGGGACATTGAAAGTGGCTAAAGGAAATGCCTGAATAGAGCAGATTGCTCTGTTCATGTATGTCCTAGTCAACACCAATTGAAAAAATAATCCACCGTTTTCCAGTAGCCCTCGTCTGGGGATCAAGTCTTTAACATAAAGACTTATGTGGGATGCCCATCCAACCCGAGACAGGCTTGATTTGTGGATGGAGATCCAGGGGGTACCCTCAGGGGGAGGCAGATCCATGGTGGGTGCTTAGGTAGTGTGTGGTCTTGTGAGGTGCATCCAGCAGGCAACCCCAGGCATCTGCTGCCGTTCTTTCTGTGGTTAGCACCTGACCACAATCATTTTGATTTTTTTTAAATGTGTACCATTTGATTGAAACTATTTAAGAGTTGTTCTTCAAGAGAACCGTTCTGTGTTTTTATTGGCAATGCCCTCCTTTCTGGTATCCATGGTGATCTCAGGATAAGTAAGGACAAGTGGCCGTTTGTGATCCCTAACAAAACCCCGGGCACATGTGGTAGGAGATATTTATAGAGCATGGTGTGGCTTCTGCCCTTCACTGAGTGTGTTTCTGTCATTGTTTTTGCTGTGCAGCTTCTGCACAGTCCCTTTTTCTTGCTTTATGAATCAAATCTGCAACCATTAATTAATCTACCTCATTAATAAAATTTAAATGAATTTATAAATTTTCATTGATAATTATTATGTGTAACACACTGGGTTTTTTTGTACCATGAAATCTCCGCATCCCCCTTTCTATATTTTAATATTTTTAAATTCATTCATTCAACATTTTTTTTATTAGATACTTGATCTGTGCAGGTACTTGGTTAGGTCTTGACACGATGGTGAATAACTAAACATAAGTACCCTGGAAGCTTTGTTGGCAGAAGAATGTGGTGACACCCTGACATGGGAGGACCTGACCCAGTCCTAGAGTATGAGGAAGCCAGTGGAGGAGGGGAACCTTTTAATTTTCTTAAACTTCTGTCAAAAATACACATTAACCTCAAGACTCCAATCATGACTTTCAATGACTTCTCCAGTCTTTGCTCAACACTGACAGTTGCTTGGTGATTCCTTCTTTTCTGGTCCTACTTTCCATAAGCTGCAGCCCTCACACTAGCTCCAGAACACCTGTGAAACTTGAGGAGGTTTACATGTTGCTCCGCATACAATTTATAACAAGGAAGTAAAGAATCCTCCGTTTCCCAAGACCACGTCTTCCCTTTAGTACAATAGGCATTTACGTGAGTGGTTTAGGACATCTACGTGCTGAGGAAAATACAGTGTATTCAGAGATGAGCTTCAGAGCACCCTCGTTTAAAGTTGAACATCTAGAGTTTGTGTTTTCTCACCCCGGCTGGAGTTCTGTGGCAAAGGTGAATACTCTCCCTGGATTCTCTTGTCAGACTATGGAGAATAAAGGGAACCGGTCAAGTACGAATGCTTTGATTTGCAAACATTGTTTTAAATTGTAGCTGGCTTGGATGTGATTTCTTACCACTTTAGAAACAAAAAGCAGAGGGTCTGGAGCGGTGTCCCAGCAGTGAGGAGAACTTACTTCTCTTTCAGAAGACCAAAGCTTGGGTCCCGGCCCCCATGTCAGGGGCTCACAACATTTGTGATTCCAGCTTCAGAGGATCTCATGTCCTTTTCTGGCCTGTGTGGATAGTCACACATACACACATGTGCGCACACATACACACCCAATTGAAAAACAGAACCTTAGCAATAAAACCAAAACACCACATCTGTTGGTATTGTGCAAACCCCTTTTAGCACCTTGGCCCTCCAAATATAACCCTGTCCGAGTCTGCTTCCTTTCAAATGAACCTGTGGCTTTTCGGGATACGGACAGTCTCCGCATCCTGTTTCCCAGGTACATCACTCAGTGTATTCAAACTCTCTGCTTTTATCTGCTGTGCTACAAACCTAGGGAAGGACCATGTGTGTTCTGCCCTTGGCCATTATGTCTGAGTATGTTTCCTGTTTGCACTTTTCTGGAGGGTTTTATTTGTTTGCTTTTCCTGAGGGGGGAAAATTGCGATCTGGTAGGGAAATATTGGCATAATGGACTACTTACATGCAGATTTTCTGTTCATGTCGTAAGTATACGTTTTTTAATTACCACCCTCATGTTGTTTAGGTGGCTGTGGTCTAACTGAGAAGGGATGAGGAAAAGCTTCTGGTTTTCCTTTCTATCTGGAAAAAAAAAAAAAAAAAAAAAAAGGAGACAGGGATCAGACCAGTTAAAGGAAAAGGGGAAAAAAAGGCAAAATTCTGTGAGCAAAAGTCTTGCTTTGTCACAGAATTTTAAATTATCCAGTGCAATAAAAATAACATAGTATGAGGTGTGTGGTCTGTTTTGAGGGGAGAATTCAAGACAGGGTCTCAAGTAGCCCAGGCTGGCCTCTAATTCAGCATGCACCTGAGGATGTCTTTGAACTTCTGACCCTCCTGATTTTCTCCCAAGGACCAAGATTGCCACCAATTCTGCATCCTTAAATGACAAACGTCTCACAAAGATCTGCAGAGAAGGAATTAGTTACCTCATGACAAATGCAGTTGGAACTCCTTACCACAGGTCCCTATGTCGTGGGTATATCAGGTCCTCATTAGCGAGGTGAGATTCTAGGAGAGTGGTTATGTGTGTCTGATTTTTGAACCAGACGTGACATGCGATTTCTGAAAAGAATGACTTGTAATTTAAATAGGGAAAAATTGTTTCGCTCTATGGTTGTAAAGGTAGAATCTATACACTGTAGGGAGAAAATCAGAAAAGCTTCCAAAGGAGATAAAAGTTAACACTTAAGGTTCCTACTGCCTTTCTAACTCAGATATCACCCTGGCCTTCTGTCCGACATATGTATTTGTTCAGCAAATATTGAATATTTCTTGCAGTATTTGTGCGTGCATATTTTCATGTCTTTATTTCTTGAGATTCACCTTTTAAAATTGTGAGCCTATTTCCTACCTGAAGTAATATTTCTTATTAAGCTAGCAACACTCGTGTGTGTGTGTGTGTGTGTGTGTGTGTGTGTGTGTGTGTGTGTGTGTATGGGGTACACATATTTGTTGGGGTGATGTGTATGCATAAGTTTGTGTGTGGGCAGGAGTCAATATCTAGAGTCTTCTTCAATGCTTTCTATCGTAGATTTTGAGACAGGATCTTTCATGGAACCTGGTATTCAGTGATTAGCTAAACTAACTGAGTCAGTGACTGCTAGACCATCAAGCCCGGGGATCCTCCTACCTTCCCCTCCCCAGGGATGGACTTATAGACTCTCACTGCCATACTGGGCCTTTTATTCGGGTGCTAGGGATCCAAACCTCAGGTCCTTGTGTTTTCATGGCAAGAACTTCTCCTCTGGAGCCACCACCTCAGCTCAAGCAGTCTTTATCTTTTGGGCCATTTAGTCTGCTGTCATGTGAACGGCACACCCCTTAGCTGGAAAATGTGTCGTTTTTCCTTTGTGTTTTCGCGGTGCTGGGCCTGGCCCCGGGCCTCACAGGTGCTAAACATGGGTTCTTCTACTGAGCTACACCAGCCCCAAAGTCTGTCTGTCCGAATCTCTCTCTCTCTCTCTCTCTCTCTCTCTCTCTCTCTCTCTCTCTCTGTGTGTGTGTGTGTGTGTGTGTGTGTGTGTGTGCGCGCACGCGCATGTGTTCCCTGAGGAGCCTGGCTTTGGGGAGCCCTCCTGCAAGTGATGGAGAGGAGTTGGGTTTTCAAACAAGAATTTCTCTCCTTGGGGGAGCATCAGTGTCCTGGCTGCAGTGTTAACGGATGGTACCCATTATGGGTACTCACAGCTATGGATGCCCAATGAACATCACTTCTGTTACAATAGTTAACCTTTTTCACCACTATGATCAACTAACTACTTGGCCCTTGAGGCTGCTTTCTCATTCTTGTGATAAATACCCAGACAAAGGCAACTTAACACAGGAAGGGCTTATTTTGACTGAGGGATTAGAGTCCATGATGGTGATGAAGGCCTGAAGACAGGGCCATGAGGCCATTCCATCATACATCAGCAGTCTGGAAGCAGAGAGCAGGAAGGAAGTGAGTCCAAGCTACAAAACCTCAAAGCCTGCCCCCCAGTCACATACTTCCTCTAGTGAGGTGTCACCTCCTAATGGTTCCAGAGCTGTCCCAAACCGTACCACCAGTGGGGACCAAGTGTTCCAACTCACGAGTCTATAGAGGAAAATTTCAAATTCAAACTTCAGCACCAACGAAAAGCAAGTTAGAGAGAAAGGACTTCTTTGGGTCACATTAAAATATGATACAGTCCACCATGGCACGAAGCATTGCAGGGGGACAGGAGGCTTCTGGCTATACTGTATCTACTGTCAGAAGTGAGCATGCCCAGCTATATCCCACCCTCCCCCCTTTTTTGAGCATGATATTCCTGTGCAGTCAGGATGCTTAGTCAAACCTCTCTGGAAGTGTCCTTAAAGACACAGGCAGGGCCGCATCTCTTAGGTCATTCCAAATCCAGTCACATCGGCAAGGATTAACCAACTATCCGTTAACAATTAACAGGATTCTCTTCGTGGAGCCAATCGCTACTTCCTGCTTGAGCTGCTGGAACATACAGTCGGGCATTTGGGCTGGGTGGGTAAACTGTGACCTGGTTAAACAGTGCGTGCGTCTCCTTCTCCCTTCCCCCTTGTAACAACAGCGAGAAGAGCAGTTTCAGAGTTGCCCAGAGAAAAAGTTGGCCTTGTGGCTGTGCAAATCCTGACAAATGGCAGCTGCTGCTGCACAGTGAGGGGAGATTTATGTTTAGACCAGAGTAAACTATGCATCCAGGTAATAATTTTGAGCAATGAAGTAAGTTTGCTACAGGAATCGTTAAAGAAACAGATAAATCACAGTAATTTCAACATGGCACTTTTGCCATTCAATAAATGGGTATTTTAAATTTCATTTGCTTTTGAACTAAGTTCAATAATTTATAGAGTAAGTCATTCGAAGATTAATGCTCAGAGAGGGAGAAAATCACCACACAAGAACAGAGACATATCATTTATGTATATTACATCGGAGCCTTCCTTGCCTGTGTTTCCATTATAAATCCGA